AAAAAAAGTCTGCAGTTGGCATACGTGCGCATGCACATTTCTCAGCAATTTAGGACAAAGGTTGTCCCGTTAGCGCGTATAAAAAGGGGGATGTGTTTCTTTTCTGCGGTTTGGTACTTCTCCGGGTGCCTAAGTGCTTACCCGTTTGTCCATTTTTTTTTGTTTTTTTTTTTTTTTTTTTTCCCGATTTTCCAAATCGCGGGGAGTGGCAATTTTGCGGGAAAGACTTTTTGCACTTTTGCGTGCGCGGCATGGCTACAGGTGATGGGAAAATCTTTTTGCTTCCTTTTTTTTCGTCGCCACTTGGTTACTTTGCCACTCCACCGTATGTGTATGTATGGACACAGAGCAGCACGCACATTGTTCCCTTGATGTGCGAGTTGTACACGCGAGGATGCGCTTGTTTTTTTTTTTTTTTTTTAAAGGGCGATGAACATGGGGAAAAAAAAAAATATATAAAGCATACCACAGCAGAATGAAACGAAGTGTATTTGCAAGGCACATTTTACCAAGTACCTTCAAAAAAAACATTCGTAACATTCGAAATGTTCTTTTTTCCTCTTTTTTTTTTTTTTTTCTTCCCATCCTTTTTGGCAGAATTCTCCGCGAGTTACCATTTCTCGTTGGCCAAGTTGTTCACACTACAGTCATTTCTCACCCTTCGTCTTTTCTCCTTTATAAGGATGCTAGCATTCACATTGGTGTATGAAAAAAGAATAGCAAAACGTTCGTGACAGAATTGACCAAAAAATTACACAAAAAAAAAAAAAAAAAAAAAAAAATTATAATGGTGATGCGGAGCAATGGTGGGAAGAAATGTGTGTCATTCTCCCACGAGGAAGCAAAACTTTGCTCAATTTAATATTTTTAAAAAAAAAAAATCGAGGCTACAGAGGTTGGAAGTGCATCACCCCAACTCTTCCTTCACATCTCACTTCGTGTATGTGGAGGCGTCCGGGGGAAAAGCATATCCCCTAGTGTGTTTGTCTCAGGGCTGATCCCTACACGCAGACGTGTGAAAATGGCCAACTGTTAACGCGCCCCATGGGCAGGTAGCTATGCATTTCCCTGCTTGAGGTTTCCCATGTTGTTGCTCAAATTTTGGAGAAACTTTTGCTTTTCCTTCTTCAACTGAATAATGATGTGCGAGAGTACTTTGGGGCTCACTCCATATTCACATAACTGAATTAAAATGACAATGGTTTCTTTGTCCAGGTTTACGTTTAGGATGTTTGAAATTTCGTAAATTATTTCTATGGCTTCCTTTTTCGCTTCCTTCTCCGCCATTCTGCGCTGTTGTGTGGTGGGGCGGTCAAGCGATAGGGCGGTGTAGCGGTTAGGCGATTGTCAACAACGGTGTTACCAGCGGGGACCTTTAAGCCCTGCGAGTTTTGGTCTACTCGTGGGAACCCCCCGTCTCTGTTATCTCCGTTCAATATTTCACTACCTCTGTGGATAAGGAATTTCCCGGGCTAGTTCGAACCGTGTGTGCGTTGTGTGAGGATCCCCAGGCCAAAGTACTTCATGTGCAACAATGATTAGGTACCGGTCCGGCTATAATCTTATCTGCACACATGTGTACAAGTGCACCCATGCGAGTGTGTTCCCTTCAAAACGCATTAAACTCCGTTGGCTCGTGCGCAATGTGTCCTAACTTTGCTTCTTTCCCTTTTGCTTGGGAGGTGTAACTCCGTCTACACACTTAAAGGGAGCGTAAATAAAAGCAACGCGAATGTTCAGACCTGCCTATTTGCGTGCATCACTCAAGTTGGAGGTGATGCCCGTGGGAAGGGCAAGAGCGGTCTTTTATAATTCGAGGGTGGGGAGCCGAACAAATGGTCATCGATGCAAGGTGGAAAAATGAAACACGCGCACATGCGTGATTTATTCCTTTCTTTTATCATTACATGGAGGACATCTCAAAACATGCGCTAAGGGAACATTTGTGGATCAACTGACCTCCTCAAATTGTCATTCATATAGCATGACTCTCAAAGGCGGGGGAAAGTAAAAGGGGAAAATTGTTACTACGGAAACGAAGCGCGGAATGTTTGGTAGTAGTGTAAAAAAAAAAAAAAAAATGTGAATTTTTTCTCCAACGTAGTTTTTATAAAAATTATCATAATTCTCACTTTTTGAATAAATGCATACATTACACTTGCGTGTGGCCCATTTTTATGT